TCCTCACTTCTGTGTCCAGGGCCCCAAGCCTGTGCCAACCTGAGCTGCCATCCAAACTACGGGAGGGCAAGGCAGCAAGAGACAGGCGTGTCTCCCTGGTATCTGTTAGGATGCCTTCAGCAGCAAGTGACAGAAAAATCCAGCTAACAGTGTTTACACCATAAGGATGGTTACTGCTCACTTCACAGGAAATCTGAGACAGGCAGTCCAGGGAAGCTTCAGAGCCTCAATGATGCAGTCGAGGAACTGGGCTTCCTCTTCCCCTCTGCCCGCCTCAGGGCATCTGCAGTGTTCTGCAGGATCACAGGATGGCTGCCCAAGCTTCCCATCCTCTCAGGACTGCTCCCAAGCAGGAAGACCTTTTTTTCCTTGCATGTCTCTCTTTTCCTGCAAGGAGTATCTTTCCCAAAGCCCCCAGCCAACTTCCCCTTACATCTGGCATGACCAACTTGTCCCGGTTCGCCTAGTACTCTCCCAGTTTGCACTGAAATTTACAGGTCCTGGGAACCCCCTTGTCCCTGGCAAATCTGGTGGGTTGGTCTCCCTACTTGCATCCCATTGGCCAGAACAAGGTCATATGTCCATCCCTTGACCAATCCCTAGTAAAGGGAATGGAAGTACCCAGATGGCTTAAACCAATCAGAATTCACCTCCTGGGGGACTAGGCGTGTTGCCATTTGAACTGATCTGGGCTTCTGTGAGCAAGGAAGGGGATCGGTTGCTAGGTCGGCACCCTGCAGTGTCTGCCACACTTGCATTTATCAGAAATTAGCAGCGTCCTGTCCTAGACAAGGCGCGGCTCTCCCCCGTCATCCTGCATCGTCACCATCATGCTGTGTATGTGCTTGTGACTAAGTGTGAAAGAATTAGGAGCATGACAAGGATGTTGGGGGAGGGGGAAAGGGTGGAGGATAAAAGCCCCAAGTACAGACTTCCTCTGTGGTCCTGGGAAACAAGTTTATTATTAATTTGACCTTCATGTGGCCTAATTAAAGTGCAGATCTCCAGGCATGATATCCAAATGGGCAGCTTTCAGGCAATAATAACAAAGACCAGAAAACAGCTGGTCTTTCTCCTAAGCTGGCCTGTCTTTTGACTGTCACCATGGAGAGACTGTGGAGGAGGGGGCATCTGAGCAGAAGGACAGAGGGGCTGGGCCGTGTACAGGCTAAGGGGTCAGCCCCAGCCCTGGCTCCTTGGGGACACTGGGGTCACCCAGCCTCCTCAGTCACCTCCTGCCTCAGCTACACACAGGACAGAGCTGCTCCAAGTCTGACCAAGTCTACCTGACACCAAATCTCATGATCTGTGAGGTTCCAGTCCCAGGGCCAGTCACCTTCTCTCACAACTTTAAAGACAAAGACATTGAGAATAAGTCATTTGTAAACCTGGAAATAGTGTTCCATTCATTCCTTCATTCAAACAAATATTTATTGAGCATTTTCTATGTGCCGGGCACTGTGGTGTGGCTGGGGATAAACAGCGAACATGACCAATAAGATCCCCAGCCTCAAGAAGCTGACATTCTGGAGGTGGCAGACAGACAAGAAGCAAGAACTAATACATATATATCGTCATCAATAATAAGTGTAATAAAAAATAAAGTCAGAGAAGGGCAAAGAGAATGACAAGGTCGATGGGGGCAGGGTGGCCGCTCTTCTAGATCAGGGGTCTGCAAACTACAGCCTACAGCTGCCACCTATTTTAGTAAATAAAATTTTATCGGAATACAGCCAAACTTGTTTATTTGCATATTGTCTATGGCTCCTTTCACGCTGCAATGGTAGAGCTGAATAATTACAACAGAGATGATATGACCCACAAAGCTGGAAATACTTACTAACTGGCCCTTGAAAAAAGTTTACCATTACGAGATACCATTTCACACCCACTGGAACAGCTATAATCAAGAAGACAGATATAACAAGTACCACTGAGGATGTGGACAAACTGGAACCCTCAAGCACTGCTAATGGGAATGTAAAATGGTGCAGCCACTTTGGGAAACAGTCTGGCAGTTCCTCAAAAAGGTAAATATAGAGTTACTGTAGGACCTGGCAATTCCACTCGTAGGTATGTACCTGAGAAATGAAAGTATATGTCCACCCAAAAACTTGTACAAGAATGTTCATAGCAGCATTATTCCTAATAGGCAAAAAGAGGAAACAACCCAAATGTCCATCAATGGATGAATGGATAAATAAAACATGGTATACAATGGAATATTATCTGGCATTGAAAAGAAATGTAATAGTGATATCTGCTACAATATGGATGAACTGTGAAAACATTATGCTCAGTGAAAGAAGCCAGCTGTAAAGGACCACATACCGTATGAGTCCATTTTTATGAAACATCCAGAACAGGCAATCCACAGAGACAGAAAGTAGACTGGTGATCGCCTAGGGCCAGAGGGGCTGGGGAGTGATGGCTACAGGGTGCAGGGTTTCTTTCTGGGGTGATGAGAATTGATTGTGGTGATGGTTACACAATTCTGTAAACATCCTAAAAGGCATTGTACACTTTAAATGGTGAATTGTATGGTGTATGAATTATATCTCAATAAAGTTTTTTTGTTTTTTTTTTCTGTGAGGAAGATCAGCCCTGAGCTAACATCCGTGCTAATCCTCCTCTTTTTGCTGAGGAAGACCGGCTCTGAGCTAACATCTATTGCCAATCCTCCTCCTTTTTTTTCCCCAAAGCCCCAGTAGATAGCTGTATGTCATAGTTGCACATCCTTCTAGTTGCTGTATGTGGGACGTGGCCTCAGCATGGCCGGAGAAGCGGTGCCTCGGTGCACGCCCGGGGTTCAAACCCGGGCCGCCAGTAGCGGAGCGCGCGCACTTAACCGCTAAGCCACGGGGCCGGCCCTGGTAAACCTTTTAAAAACAACTTTATTGAGGGCTGGCCCCGTGGCTTGGTGGTTAAGTGCGCGCGCTGTGATGCTGGTGGCCCGGGTTCGGATCCCGGGTGTGCATCGAGGCACCACTTCTCCGTTCATCCTGAGGCTGAGTCCCACATACAGCAACTAGAAGGATGTGCAGCTACGACACACAACTATCCACTGGGGCTTTGGGGGGAAAAATAAAATAAATAAAATCTTTAAAAAAAATAAAAATAAAAAAAAGGAATAAAAGGTTTACCAATCTTTGTTCTAGATAGTCAGGAAAGGCCTCTGAGGAGGTAGCATTTGAACTTCTTTTGTAATTGGCTCAAAGCTCTCAAATTGTAACAGATGGCACCTTACTCAGCACTTACGTGCCAGGCATTTTACGTGTGAGAAGCGTTTTACAACACTACCTAATTTAATCCTCACAAAAATCCTTAGATACTAGCTTAGATACTAACAAAGCCATTTAACAGTTGAAGAAACTGGAGAGGCTGAGTGACTTGTCCCAGGTCTCACAGCTAGTGAGTGGTAGAACTGGGATTCAATTCTGCGTGTCTCCGACTTCAAAGCCTGTGCCCTTCGCCGTTGAGCAACATAGTACGTAATTCCCTGTCCAGCCTCTGAATTCCTGATCTTTCCCAAATCAGGAAGATGGCCCAAAGTAACATGGAGGAGATGGGAGAGATCATAGCCTTGAAGGAAGATAGGAACGGGCACACCAGGTGCAGAGGAAAGCAACGAGCATGCTGACAGGTGTCTCTGGCCTCAGGGAGGGGCCTCACAGTGTGAGCAAGACACCAACTCGGTGGTTCCCAAACTTTAGAGGCACAGAAATCTCCTAGTGCAAGAAGTGGGAGAGGGGCTTATTTAAAATGCAGACTCCTGGGCCTCACGCCACAGATTCTGATTTAGTGGATCTGAGTTGGGGACCAGGAATCCAATGTCAACAAGCTCCCTAGCAGACTAATGCAAATGGTCCAGGGATGACACTGTGAGAGGCCCAGCAGAAACCTGAAGGTCAGCACAAGACTTCTCTGGGTATCCCCCCCAATCTTTCCCTCCCTGCCTGATATCCCATATTCCTGGCTCTCATTCTTCTTCCCGTGCCCAGAGACGCCATTAAGCATTACAGGCCTCCCAGGCTCTGTTCCTGCTCTTTTTTCCACCCGGCCTGACCTTCCCTACCTTCCTTCGCGCTGCTCCACCTCCCCCAGGAGGCCTCACCACATCTCCCCTTCCTTAGCCTGTCATCCCACAAGGGCTCATCTTTTGGGAGGCTGCTGAAGTGTCACCTCTTTATGAAACCTTCCCTAACCACAGGCAAGTTTATTTACCGCATCTATAAAATGAGGATGAAGAGCAAAGGAGAAATTGTACGCAAGGAGCATTGGAGGCACTCAATAAACAGTGGCTATTATTTTTATACAATAACATACCTATTATTATCCCCATTTTACAGTTGAGGAAAGTGAGGCAAAGGATTAAGAAACTTGTCCAAGCTCATCCAGCTAGAAATTGGTAGCATTTGGATTTCAACTAAGGCACAAGGTCCTCAGCTTTAATCATCCAGTTACACTGACTTTCACTGTGATGAGGCTCCAGGGAGACAGGACTCTGGCACAGGGCCTGGCATGTGGTAGGTGCTCAATGAATGCTGGAGACAACTGAATTGAAAGGTTTCTACATCAAGGGAGATGGGGAAAAATTACCCAAAGACTTTACTGATCATGATGTCTCATGCTTTTTATTTGACAAGACGCAACATCTTAAGATCTCTGATGAGAATAGGATGTAAAAAAATAATTCAGAAAAAAAAAATTCAGAGTGGTGTTCCATTCAAAGCTTGGTGGGTCCAAAGACTATCAATCTCCTTCAATGGGGGTGATTGTGGGTTTTAACTTCAGACCATTAAGATGGTGCAGAGATATTGGGGAAAGAGGAAAGGTACGGGATAGTTGATCTGGTTCCAACCATCCTGCTCCCTTGCCCCCGGCTTCTGAATCTCTCTCCATCTCTTTATATCATTGACACCTCAATCACTGAATCTCTCCCCATGAAAAACTGGGAGAGATTCAATCTAAGGACTCAGTGGAGTCCTGGATGTTATTTTCCAAGCAAGGTTCCACATGGAACGGAGATCCCTCCATCTTGACTCCAGATTCTTTTTCAACTCAGGTCATTAATCTCATCTACCCTCCTTTGAGCGCCATACAAAACTTAGGTAGCCCAGAAAGCCTCCCCTTTGAGCCTGGGGTCTTCCTACAGAGTCAGACAGCTTTCCACCTGAATTGAATCAACAGGGAATCCTGTGGGCGATGTTTCTTCCAACATGGATGAACTGTGAAAATAGTATGCTAAGCGAAATTTTCAGTCTGTCCCCTTTCACACAGCTGCCTAACTTTTGGTGGCTCAGAAGTCAAGAAGACAACAGGAAAAAGAATGCCAAACAATTCTATTGCTTGAACCGAAACCCAAGATATCAAGATTCACTCAAATCTCAGGAAAAACAAAAAAGACAACCTCAATTGGGTTACAAGACACAAAAGAGAACAGGAGTCACTACCAAATAAGACTAGGAGGCTTTCCGGAAATGGACAACTTTCTGAAACGCTTGCCTAAACTCTTCATTAAATACAGTATAGATTATTGGATTGATGAGGGAGTTTAAATAGCCAAGCCAGGTGAAAAAGTCAAAGAGGGCTGGGTGGATCCAGCAGGAGTCCCGGCAGATGGGGAGGACCAGAGATGCAGCAAAGAATGGCAGCCAACAGATGATGAAGGCCCCCAGAATGACCCCCAGGGTTTTAGTGGCTTTCCTTTCTCGAGCAGCGGAAATTCTCTTGCGCTCCAGGATACTGTCAGCAAGCTTGATTTTCACGTGGCTGAAAAAGAGTGGGGAGCCGGCCGAAGGAGAGTGCCCTTCATGGAGGCAGGGGTTGAGAGAGCAGAGCGAGGATCCCGCAGAGCCCATGATGAGGTGGGCGGTGGTGAAGCGTTTCCCGTAGAGTGATGGTGGATTCAGGATGCGGTTCCGGGCAGCCCTGTAGATCCGGCTGTAGAGGATGACGAGCAACACAGACGGGATGTAGAAGGCCCCACATGTGGAGTAGACGGTGTAGGAGATCTGAGAAGTGTTCACCAGGCAGTCCGACATCTCCTCGTGAGCTTTGGCCTGCCGCCAGAAGAGCGGTGGGATGGAGATACAGATGGAGATGACCCAGACGACGGCAATCATGGCGGCAGCATGGCCTGCTGTCCGGCGTTTGCTGTACTCCAGGGCATCAGTGATGGCCCAGTACCTGTCCAGAGCGATGACAAAGAGGTGCAGGATGGAGGCCGTGCAGCACGTGACGTCAGAAGACAGCCAGATGTCACACAGGATTTGGCCAAAGCTCCAGGTGCGGGTGGTGGTATATGCGATGCTGATGGGCATGACCAAGATGGAAACTAAGAGGTCAGTCATGGCCAGGGAGCCGATGAGATAGTTGGCTGGGGTGTGGAGCTTCCTGGTGAGGAAGATGGTGGTAAGCACAAAGGCATTGGAAAGGACTGTGGCCAGTGTGATGATGGACAGGCCCACAGCAAGAGAAATCTTGAGGGCCTGGAGGGTCCCCGGATCCCAAGCCTCTGGGCTTTCTGTAGCGTTCAGGGGTCTGTTGGAGGCCTCCTGGAGAAGGCCTTCCACTGACTGGTTTGGTGGGGACATTCTAGGGGGCTCTCTCTTCCCACAGACTTCCACACACACAGCTCCTTCTCTCACAGGTGTCCTGCTCACAGAACAAGGTCATCCTTCTGATTCACGCTGGTGGGAGCCATCCATCAGAACAGACCACAGTGAAAAGACCTCAAGACTCGACTATTTAAAGAACATGGAGGTGACGACCAGCTGGTAGTTAGTTAAGGTCTTTCCTAAACCAGGTGAACCCCAAGATGTCTCACTGTTCTGGAACTTTACCCAGCTTTCAGGGGGCCTCCGGGGGGGCTTTTAAAACTAGAGACAAAAAGAACTACCAGCTGATTCGGAGAAGCAGTCCAGTCAACAGCTCCCAGTTTTCCCGGGTTCATCGTGACACAGTACGAGGTACGTAACTTCGGTTCCTGTCCTGCTGACCGTTTTGAGCCTGAACAGACAAAACATTCCGGTTACCAAGACTTGAGGAATGCATGAGCCGGGAGAAGGCAAACAAACAGATCACTGTGGGTTCATCGAGAAGGGCACACGTTCAGAAGCTCTAGGGTTTAAAGAAGAAAAAAAGTCGAGTTAGGTTCTAGAATGACAATTTGGACACTTGAAATTAACTATAAGATTAAATGGATATTGCTTAATGCTGGCAGGGGTGCAGTGAAACTGGTATTCTGGTCAGGAGAAGGCAGAGGAGGGCAATGTGCCCCACCCCCACAATTCCCAGAGCGGGCAAAGTCTCAGAGCTGTTGGAAGCATCACAGGCTTGTCACAAGTACATGAAATCAGCTCTGTAAATTGTGAATCAGAAATCATCTGTTTATTCAGCAACAATGGAAACTAAACAAAATAACTCTGTTTTTTGTCATCAGGAAAGATACCAAATGTTACAATGCATTTCTCTAAGAATTGGGAAGGGGGAGGTGACCTTTCTTCTATTCATATGAATTTTCCTAGAGTGAGCATGCATGATTCTTAAAACAAAAAAAAAGCAAACACAAAAACATCTTTTTGTTAAGCAAAGAAATTAATTGCAAAAATAAAAACCCTGAGCATTTTTCACGGTGAAAGTTCAAATCCAGAAAATACATTCAGAAATTGGAAATTGGAAGTTTAGTCACAAAAAAATCTTGGGGGGTGGCTAAAAGGGGTAAAGGGACATATATGTACGGTGAGGGACAATAATTAGACTACTGGAGGTGAGCATGATAAAGTCTATCCAGAAACTGATAAACAATAATATATGCTCGAAATTACACAATGTTGTAAACCATTATGATCTCAATAAAATTACTAGAAAAAGAAATCTTGAAGACTCATTTTCTTTTCTCCCTCCCATTCCACAAAGTTGTGGGTGCTTTGTCTTTGGAAAATATCTGCCAGGGCCGGCCCCGTGGCTTAGCGGTTGAGTGCGCTCGCTCTGCTTCTGGCGGCCCGGGTTCGGATCCTGGGCGCGCACAGACGCACCGCTTCTCTGGCCATGCTGAGGCCGCGTCCCACATACGGCAACTAGAAGGATGTGCAACTATGACATACAACTATCTACTGGGGCTTTGGGGGAAAAAAGGAGGAGGATTGGCAATAGATGTTAGCTCAGGGCTGATCTTCCTCACACACAAAAAAAAAAATCTGCCAGAAGAGGGGAAACAGCCTCAATTTAAGAAAATCAATCTTAAGCAGCCTGCTCCAAAACTTTCCCCACGTGTGAAGGATATTTTTACAATATCGTCTGTGGAGTTCTTCTGTGTTCTAGGCACTGAGTTATTTAGCCCTGGGGCTAAGACTCACCCAACCTGTGAAGTGGGCAAAAAGGCCCCCAACTTACAAATGAGCCAGTGATGCTCATAGAGGTGATGTCACCTGCCCGAGGTCACCCACCTGGAAGTAGAAGAACCAGGACCAGAGCCAGCTCTGGAAATCTCCACTCTTCTCTACACTGCTTCAAGTCAGGGAAAAGGCTTAAGGCACAAGTGCTTCCAGGAGCGGAGCTGGTTGGGACTCCCTGGTGACAGGTGAAAATGATGATCCCTCTTGCCCCACCCCTCACCCTGTGCTGCACCCCAGAAGCCTCTGGCTCCCACTTTGGTTCACAAGGAAAATGAGAAGTCGGGTTGGACTGTTTGGAATTTTCTTCCTTCAAGACAGTCTGGGTGAGTGAGGTGCCATCATTTCTCACAGACGGCTGTGTGCTTGCCCCACAAACCCATGCGGTCACTCCTGGGTTCCAGGCATTCCGATGACCTCATCCAGTGAAAGGCGTGGGCTCAGAAAGGCCTGAGAGGCTGGTGGGTGATATCTTGGGAAGAAGGACCGGGTGGATTGCCTTGGTCAGGAATGCTGGGCTGGAGCTTCGCAGGAAGCTACATGATTCTGAAGCTGTCTCCCTCCTCTCCTACCTGCTGTCCCGCCCCACCCTGAAGAAAGTTGGGGGAATTTCCCATAATCCTGCTACCTTTGGAGATACAGACTGTAGCCCCATAAGCAACTACCTCTCTCCCATCACACTTCAAATTAAAATAATAATGAGATATCATTTTCACCCAGCAGAAGGTAAAAAATTCTAAATCTGATCATGTCATGTCATTGGGTAAGGGTGTGTAGCAACAGGAGTTTTCACCTACCACTAGTAGAATGTAAATTGGGGAACCTCATTAGCAAACAATTTGGTATTATCTCATAAAGCTAAAGACGTAATGACTACCTCATGACCCAGTAATTTCCCTTCCAGGTATACATGACAGAGAAACTCTTCTGTGTGTTCACCAGCAGGCAGGAGCAAGAACGGTCACCATAGCATCGCCTGTAATAGCAAACAACTGGAAATCACTCTCATGTCCGTCAACACTAGAATGGTAGGATGTGGCATATTCCTACGACGGAGTGCTACAGAGAAGTAAAACTGAGTAAACGAAAGCTGCATCCATCAAAGTGGGAGATTCTCACAAACCTAACACTTAGTGCCCAAGTCAGAAACATGTAAGAAGAAACAAACTGTTTAGGGCTATAAATATGTGTAGCAAAGCCATAAGGAAAAGCAAGGAAACGTTAAATATAAAATTCAGGATGGTAGTTACCCCTGGAGGAGAAAGGATGAGGGAATGTAACTGTGGAGGAGTTTTAAAGGTATCAATGATGTTCTACTCTTTTTTTTTTTTTTGCTAAGGAAGATTGGCCCTGAGCTAACATCTGTGCCAATCTTCCTCTATTTTGCATGTGGATCACCACCACGGCACGGCCACCAACAAGTGGTGTAGGTCCATGCCTGGGAACCGAACCCAGGCTGTTGAAACAGAGCACGCCAAACTTAACCAGTAGGCCATGGGGCCAGCCCCTATTCTATTCTTTAAGGTGGTGGTGGGTACATGGATGTTTATTATTATTCTTTGAACTGTATGTATGTTACATATATACTCTTTTGTAGAGAGTTATATATTTGTAATTTTTCTTAAACAATCAATTTTGTCCATTATGAAAAAAACCTAACGCTATTACTACCAGCAATAACAGTGATACATTTTGGTACATTAGTACCTATTGATATATTTTAGTCCCAAAGATGTGGGTTCTGGTCCCGGCTCTGCCGCTGACCAGTGGAGTAACCATGGGCAAGTCACAACTTCTCTTTGACCCTGTTTCTTTCTTGGTAAAATGGGAACATAAGCATGGCTATGCTGCCCAAAGGGGTGTTTAGTAGTTCTAGTAAGATCAGGTATGTGCTATAAACTGAAGAGTCCTGAACAAATGGATTGAGGATAACACAGATGGAGGGCAGTGGCTAAAAGCATGTATTTTAAGTCAGGCAGGCTCAGGTCTCAACGCCTGCTGCTCCACTTTCCCGCTGTGGCCATTGGGCAAGTCACTTACGCTCTCTGAGCCCGCACAGCCTCAGTGAGGAAGATGATAATCCATACCTCACAGGAGTTTGGGGAGAACTAGTAAGATCATGGATCCAAACGGCCAACACAGTAAACGATGACTTCTCTGGTTTCTCTAGGATGTGTCCAATCAAATTCAGGTCTCCAGGCAACAAGGTCTCTTCCCTCACTAGAAACCAGGCCTCACTGTTATTTTGGTGAGTGATGTCTGCCATCGTCAGAACTACCAGCCACTCACGGAGCTTCTCGCCTGCCCACCACACTCCTGGAGCCATCGCAGCAGCAGCGCCTCCCCTGGAGTCCAGGTCACACAGACTCCAGCCAGACCATGCACCCCCCGCTCTAGCATCTCCGCAGAGGGGTGGAGGGGAAAAAGCAGGCAGACAGACAGACCTGGGTCCCAATCCCAACTTATTCCACAGACCACCTCTGACCACAGCTGATTGGACCAGGATGGACATGTGACCAGAAATGAGCCAATCAGATTCTGTCTTGGGAGTTTAGAATGGAGATTGTGAGCAGCTGAGCAGACAGATGATGGAGGGGGAGCAACTTGAAAGCTGAGGCTCCTGAGGCTGGAGTTGGGTCACAGCCATGACCAAAGCCAGGGCAAGTGTGGGGGGAGCAGAAAACCCATAAATAAACAAAGAAAACAGGTCTGCAGAGAGAAGCAGGAGAATGGAGCAGACAGAGAAAGGAGCAGAGAGAGAGAGGAACCATCTGCCCTAGGAGAGGAGGGAGAGGAGCCTTCCTATCCTCGGATGTCCGCAAGCAACCTCTGTCCCCAGGAAACCTCATTTGTACCAACTCGTACTTTTCCTAGTTGAGCCAGTTCGAATGGACACAGCAGGCACTGAGATACAGTAATAAGAGAGAGGATTTTCAGTTCCTTACCAGCAAACAATCCCTACTGTGGGATGTGAGGCAAGTCATTTCACCTCCTGGGCTTTTCTTCCTCATCCGTAAAGTGGGGTAACAGCACCTTTCCCCCGGAACTGCTATGTGGATTCAATGATGGAGGGATAACATGCCCGGCACAGTGGCTGCCACCCAGCAGGTGTTCTGTTAATCACTCTTTACTAAGATTTCCTACCCAGGGCTCATTCAATTCACAGGAAGATCAGTCACCTCCCCTTTCTCACTTAGTTAAAATAAACTAAGTGAGTCATAAAACCATGCCAGAAACAAAGAGGATATATGGGTTTAATGTATCCTCAGAAGCCAGTCTCATCCTTTCAGAGGGAAAAATCCAAGGCTCTGTGATAAAGATTTGTGGCAGTAGAATAAATCCCCCACAGAGGAATTCGTGTCTGTTCTTTCTCTAGAAGCTGTGTGGTACAGATGAGTGAGTCCTGGACGGGAAATCATTCTCCACAGATCTGAAGAGTGCTTTATAT